GGCATCACAGTACCAAAAAACCCCTTCTTCGTGTCTTAACCACAAGAACAAGCAAGTCAAATCTGGAAAACTGCCATTTCTGAACCAACGTGCTGGTACCATCATTAGCTGGAATTCACTTGCAGGGATCAAAGCACTTCTCCACTGTTAAAATTAGAATTTCTGACTGGTGAATGCAAGATATCACCTGGCCATCATTTCCATGATGAACACATGCTTTCCACACTTCATATGGCAAAGCTGATAAAAAAAAGCATGTCAGTCTGGCATTAACCAGATTGGTAAATCTACCTCATGCAATACATAGGTAGATATATCCAGGTATCAGTACACACACTGACACAGACATGGAAGAAACTATTCAACATTACCTGTAACGGCAAAAAATTAAATGCTGTCTTTCTGGTTTGTTGGATCCCATGCTGCATTGATCCTATCACCTGCATGACCATTCTTCAGCATCTTTAACTAGTGGGATTTAAATACCCAAGTAATGTTCCTACTGACTACCACCAGTGCCAGGAACATCAAGGAATTTTAGTCCACCTGCAGATGGATTTCTTTCCTTAAACTAACATAAGTATACATTTTAAATAATCACTGATCATGTTTCAATTTTATTTTTCACACACTTGAGAATTACTGTTTTCTAGATATAACTTCAGTCCCATGTTATATTTTACGTCACAACAAGCCAGGGCTCCACATATAACATGGCTACACCTCAGGAGACAATAAAAACCATCAAGTGCAACACTTGCAAAGAACCACAAAAGCCAGTGTCTGATGCCATGATTAAGCATTTAGAACACAAAAAAACCTAAACCCCCCAAATACCCTCACTGTACCACTAGAGCTTACTGATACCTGCAACAAGAAAAGGCAAGATGCCTTTTTTCAGTGATCTGCACCAGGAAAAATATTCTACTGCAATAGCAGACAGTGATGCCAGAATGTTTAATATTACATTACTTGTAAAGAAAGCTAAATTACAATAAAACCCTGCTCAAAACACTGAGAGAGAACACAGATGATTCGACTCAGAAAAGCAGCTAAAACTTTAACAGCTCTGTATGTGCAACCAGGAACTCAGTGAAGATGAAACAGAAGCAAAACTGGATCCTTTGCTATGGCTACCAATCAAACTGTATATCCACTGACATGGTGGAAAACTTTCCTAAAAATAAGGTGTTGGGTTTTGCTGGTCAGGTTTTGTGTTTGTTTGTAATTACAAACACTGTATTTGTGCACTGAAGGATGCAACTACCCATTCAAAAGAAAATTCAGTAGGTCTGAATTTCTATGTACTTCAAGACAATGCCACCTCTACCTCAAATACCTTGACACAACCACCTTTACAGAAAGACTTAAATACGCTTGACATCACATCTAGTGTGACCACAGGTGATGTACTAGAGTCTGTATTGCCTTTCTTTTTTGGCAGTACTTATTTTTCTGTAATCTTGTGTGAAAAGAATTTACTGTCTATCCTGTAAGGCTATGGACACACCTGAGTGTGTGGTGAGCACCCCATTACAGTATGTTCATGATGATCTCACTCCATTCCTACTCTAATTCCAGGCAGACACAGCACCTTGCCATTACAGGCAGAATCAAATGCTGATCTTCCTTTTACTTGCAGAAAGGCCCTATATGGCAGTCTGCCAAGTGCTCCTTTCTCTGCCCTACCTGATTAAATTCTGGGTGGACCCCAGCACTGATCCTCATTCCCTTCACCTCTGCAAGGGCTATTAGCACTCCTCACGCCTTTCTGCTGGGAATGCCACCACCTCAAGTCATCAACAGTCTTTCCAGCGTTTTCTGTCTCTTTA